AAAATTATTTACCCAATACCCTTCAGATAAGGAGTTAATATTAAGGATTTATAAGACACTAGTAGAACTTTACAAGAAAAAAACTCCAACCCTGTCAAAAAATGGGGAGAGGAAATGAACAGAAACTTCAAACAAAAAAATACAAATGGAAAAAAGACCCATTAAAAACTGCTCTACATCACTAATAATCAGGGAGATGCAAATAAAAACAATGAGATATCAGCTCACACCACAGAGACTGGCACACAGCCAAAAGAACAAGAACAACCATTGCTATTGTGGATGTGAGGAGGAAAGGACTCTTATTCATTGTTGGTGGAAATACCCACTGGTTCAGCCTTTTAGGAAAATAGAAAAGTAATATGAGAATTCCTCAACAGACTAGAAATTGAACTTCCATATGACCCACCATACCACTTCTGGGAGTATATCCCAGTGGTGCAAAATAACACAGTAGAAAAGGCAAATGCACTTGTATGTTCATTGCAGCACTGTTCTCAATAGCCAGAATCTGGAAACAACCCAAGTGCCTGAGAACAGATGACTAGTGAAAGAAACTTTAGTACATCTACACAGTGAAATACTATGCAGCTGTTAGAAAGGATAAGGTCATGAAATTTGCTTATGAGTTGATGGACAAGGAGAGTGTCATGCTAAGTAAAATGAGTCAGAAAGAGAGGGACAGATATAGAAAGACTGCACTCATTTGTGGAACATAAAATAACATAATATAAGATTAACACCCAATGACAATAGAGACAAGGGTGAGTAGGATTGCTCTATGGTTGGAGGCCTTCCTCATGTGCTGGGGCGAGAAGGCAGATGGGATAGAGAAGGGATCACTAAATCAATGATGGTTGGAGGGACCACTGGGGCTGGGAGATGTGTGCTGAAAGTAGACTAAGGACCAAATATGATGGTCTCTCAGTATCTGTATTGCAAATCATAGTGCCCAAAATTAGATAGAAAGAAGGAAAGTGCCTGCCATAGAACTGGGGGTGGGGTGGAGCGGGGGTGGGAGGGATACTGAGGACATTGGTGATGGGAAAGGTACACTGGTAGAGGAATGGTTGGTCAATCAATCATTACATAATTGAAACTCAATAATTAAAGCTTTGTAACTGTGTCTCATGGTGATTCAATTAAGTAAATAAAAATAAATAAATAAATAAAGCTACCACAAAATAAACTCAAGGGTGTTAGCAAGCTGTGAATCCATTACTATTAAAATTTTTAAAGGAGTGTCACTTCAAAAAGATAGTTCCAGGGACAGAGAGATGCCTCAACAGGATTTAGTGCAGGATTTGCCAACAGAAGCACCAGGTATGATCCCTGGCACCTTAAGGGATGTGACCCATGGGTGTGATCAGGGGTCTCTGGGTGTGAGCCTCACTCCAAAAAAGTTATTTACATGATAATTTTCATTTTAGCATCATTTACAATAGTTAAAATATGGAAGCAACTGAAACTGGTAGATTTAGAGGCCATCAATAGACGAATGTTAAATAAGGTTGGTATATGAAGTGGGGAGATGACACAAGAGGCTGGGCTACATGATTTGCTTCTGGGAGACCCAGAATCAATCAAGGTACCACATGGTGCTCCAAGCACCCCAGAAACACACACACAGATATGACACATCTGTACAGTGGAATATTATAGAACTATGAAAAGATAAAATATTGCTGTTGGCAAAAAAATAGAAGCTCAAAGAAAATATGTGAAACCAAATAAATCAAGGGAAAATAAGTTTTGTACAATTCCTTCTATGTATGCAATATATGGGATTACACCTGGCGCCGTGTAATCCCATCAAGGGCCAAGACTCAGAGACTATAAAAACCAGCTCCCGGAAGAAGAACAGTGTAGTCTCCTGCCCCCGCGCCTGTCTGTCCTCGCCGCTGGGGCCCCTTGGAGGGGAGTGGGTTGAGCTTTCCTCCCTGCCCCGACCAGGGCTCCAGCAGCCAAAGACCTCCAGGACCAGCCACCACCATGCTGAGACCACTCTCCGCACATGTGAAGGTACTGGCAGAGGGACAAAGTCACGCGGGTTCCGGGGCCGAGATCTCCAAGCCTACTTGGATTTGGGCCGAGCATCCTCCACCCAGATCCTCCAAATTCCAGTAGGCGGGGGTCACACCCACCAACTGGCCGCCTGGCCCCCTGGCATTCGCGGCCACGCAACATCCTATTATGACTTCTTATTATCTCATTCCTACTTTGGACAAACTGACAGGCTACCGAGTGTAGCCTGCCCACACGGCAGAGTCTGGCAAACTCCCCGTGTCGTACCCAATATGCCAAATACCAGTAACAATGATGGGTCTCATTCTCCTAAAGAGCCTTGAATATAATCTCAGGGCTAGGATGAAGGAGACGTTACTGGGGCCTGCTCGAGGCAATCGACGATTAACAGGATGATTTGTGATTTGTTTTGTGATGCAATATATAAATATAAAATTTATGAACGGCTCATAATTAAAAGACAAAGCACCAGACATTGATAATAGAATTAAAGTTACCCGAGGAGTAGGGGAGATAGGATTATGATAATTTGGAGGTATGAGTGAAATATGTTCAAAATAATTAATTGGTTAATCAATTAAACAAGTAACCGGGTGGAATTGGGGTTATATTTCAAAGGCGACACATATGATTTACTTCTAGGAAGTCACTGGGTCTACATAAAAAAGAAACCTGATGTAAATCCATAAAATAAGTAATTCTATAGGTTTGAAATTGAAAGCATGTCAATCACCAGTACATTGAAACACAGCAAAATATATGCACCTCTAGAAATCTACTTACCTTCATTACTAATTAAATAAATGGAGTAAAGCTAAAATCAAACAAAATAGAGAATATATACATCATAAGCATGTGCACATATATAAAATGTAATAGCATAGTCCTTCAAAATTTTTTTGAATTCACAATTTGATAGAGTGGATCAGGAATATTTCAAAGGTGAGTTTTTCCATCAGCTATGCAAGTTAGAATCAATGAGATCTAACTCCAAAAATCTCAAGATCCTATATAAAATTCATTAGAATTTAGCTGCTTTCTTTCCATATTCTGCTTCATCTCAAGGGTAACAGAATTACGAATGGTAGAGAAATTTTTATCCTATCTTGCCAGCAATTTTCCCTTACAAATGTTCCTTAATCTATCTCAGCCCCCCACCCACCATGTTTTAAAAAGGGATTGTAATAATAATCACTTCACAGCGCTCTGATGAAGACTCAGCTGTTTACTTGTCTATATTGCAGCAGAAAAGGGCAGGCACACAGTAACTAATCCGTGTTGGTTGAAAGACATCGGCTTTCCTCTTTAGGCACAAGACATCAACACTTTCTTGCAGTAATTCTCATCCTTCACCTCCCACATATAAATAATTGAGGGTCAACAAAACCCATTTGAATTTTGTCAAGTCTAGCCTTCTTTTCTAGATCCAAAGTTGTAACATTCAAACTCTTTATTAACCAATTCTCCATAAGAAATAAACTATGGTAATGTTTTCATCAGCTCTTGGACTAGATCAGTTTGTGTGTGCGTGCATGTGTGTGCATTTCAATTGTCTGCAATAAATCATAAATATCATTTTCAAATAATAAGGACTACAGTGTACCCTAAAAAAAGACCTCTTTTGACTTTCGGGTTCTTGTGTATTGGAGTTAAAGGCAAATGTAAAGTAGTTTTCCAAATTCCCCAGAGATTTAGGTATTTTATTATATTAGCATCCAATGGTGACTGGAGGGTAATTTCAGCTTCAGGAGTTAGTAAAAGCCTTTTCCAGTAGATTAAACTCTTAATCAATGAAACATAATTGTCAAGAAAAAATCCTCATTCAGTGACTTAGATATAACAAAATGTGCTTTTATCCCTTCACTGTATAAGGTTACTAATCACTGCATCATTTGGGTGCATAGATGACAGCTCTGACAGACTAATGATACCTCAGGCAAATTCATAGTCACATTCAGTAAAGTAACTCCACAATAGCTGAAGGTAGCAGCACTCACACGTATGGAATTCAGAAGCCAGTGATTATGTAACCTTTGGATACACCAGCCTGGGGGGAGGGCAGTGAATCATGGAGAAAACGTGTAAGACAGTACAACTTTGAAACAGGGCAGTGTACTAAAAGTCACTGAGAAAGCCTGGTTCTGAACTGCTGTTTGGTTACAGATGATATTTAGAAGCCATCAAGAACAATAGAGAGGAGAATGGTTTTCTAGAATTTATGAGTGCTTTGTTATAACTTCACGTTATTATTTTTTAACTTTTATTTATTTTTAGTTTGGGGGTCACACCTGGCGATTCTCAGGGGTTAGTCCTGGTTCTGCACTCAGGAATCACTCCAGGAGATGCTCAAGGGACCATTTGGGGTGCTGGGGATGAAACCCGGTAGGCCGCATGCAAGGCAAATGCCTACATGCTTGTACTATCACTCTGGCCCCCTAACTTCTTCATTTTAAATAAAGGCAGACAACCATTGATATGAAAAGACCAAATCCTCCCTGGGCATTTGAGTCGTGGTTTGGTTCTTAAAAGCTATTTGTCCTTAGCCAAGTATCATAAATTCTCAATGTTTCTTTTATCTCATGAATGAATTGCCTTTAAGGGTATTTTCCCTTTATCATTGGATATCATTGAGGTTAAACAATCTAACTCAGTATTTGGTAATGCTTGAGACTAAATAATTGTTGGATTTTGTTTCTAAACATTGTTTAAAATTTGTTGTAATTCATAGGTTTTGTGATTAAAACTTTTTATAAAGAACTTAGGACAGATAAATTGTAGATATTTGGGTGTAGCAAATAGAATGGACGTGACAAGAATCTATCTGGAGACCATCTATTGTATTATTTACATTCTGCTTTCTATCTCCAAGTGCTGATCTCCTCCCAAAGACTTACCTTCTAAAGACTCTTAATTCGTTAATGTTGGGGGAGGAGATTTAATCAAATGAGTTATTGTTCTTTTTCTTTCCAAATTAGTTTGTGTGGCAGTGTGGAAAAATCACCACATGAGGACAGTAACCAACTACTTCATCGTGAACCTCTCTCTGGCCGACGTGCTAGTCACCATCACCTGCCTGCCGGCCACTTTGGTTGTGGACATCACTGAGACCTGGTTCTTCGGACAGTCCCTCTGCAAAGTGATTCCCTATTTACAGGTAATTTTTATTACCGTTTGGGGGTTCAAATATAGAAACTACCAAAAAAAACTTTTTTCAACTACAGTCATGGCTCTCTGGTAAATTAAATAGATCCTAAGAAGGAAACACGATGAAGATACTGGCAAAGTTATGGAAAATAATGCCTGAGACATTTTAGGTAGTAAGTGCTGGGCATAAGTAAGAGAGCAGAGGGCCTGGGGAATGGTTGGGTGGCAGCAGAGCCCACTTTGCAAGTTCGAAGCCATCACTGTGGTCTCCCTTGCTGATACGCAAACAGGACCAGCATTTCTGCTGTTCGGAGCACCTGGCGATAGAACATTCTGTACAATGTGCAGTACAATAGTCAGATGTTTGTCAGTTGCCACAACTAAATTGGGTGACTCTAGTAGTACCAGACCCAGGAGATGTGAACACTGTGGGAATGGAAGCCCTCGTGAGCGCTGGGTGTCAGTACCACAGCATTCCCTGTGAGAATTACAGCTAGATTGGCCACGAACTCTCCAGCTAACGGGATGTCACTGTCACTGTCCTCCCGTTGTTCATCGGTTTGCTCGAGCGGGCCCAGTAACATTGTGAGACTTATAACTGTGTTTGGCATATCAAATATGTCACGGGGAACTTGCCAGGCTTTGCCGTGTGGGCGAGATACTAACGGAATGCTTCTCTAGAAATGCGACTCTGGATGGGCACTTAGTGTGGGCATCACAGACAATTTGGCACCGCTACAACCAAATACGCAGGGACTCAGTTAAGATGTGTGAAAATACCCCTGCTACTATGCCTGGTCATTGCAACAACACAGAAGGGGAACATAAGTAAAATAAAGCAAGAGTCCTCAAGTCATTGTAAAATGGTTCTCAAATCATCCACGTCTTTGATTTCTAATTTTCTATTTCTAAAATAAGGAGTTTACACAAATAATCAATTGAGGTTTTCCAGTGCTGGTAATGAAAAGCTACCTATTTTTTATTGGATCTTTCATTGTACACAGAATTTAAGAGCTGCAGATCAAGGCATCACAGTGAACACGTTTTAATGTAAGTTGTAAACCAAATTTTATGTTTGGAATCTGTTCTACATTCACAGATTATGATTCCCTTCTACACAAAGGGTAGTGATCTTAGTTAATGCTCTCAAATGGTTATTTGGCTAATTTACTTACATTTGTATAAAATCACTTGGTGCTGATTATTCTCTTGAGGATGATAATCATGAATTCAGTCTACTTTCTATAAAATCAGTCATCATTACAGATTTTGTTTTTAGTAGTGAAAGCAGTTTTTCTATGCCATCTCTATACAAAAGATTAAGAACAAATACTTTTAGAAAGAGTAATTTCATGACTAGTACTCTAATATTTCTAAGATCTTTGAAAAAATCCCATACTAATTATCAAAGCCACCTCAAAGATGCATATTCCTTTTAGAAATTTTACAGTGAGTGTCATGGTGGTCTGTCCATATTTACATTCTTAAAACTCTCCTCTCCCACCCCCATCTTTATTTCGACTAGTCACACAGATGGAAATCATATTTGGATTAAAAATATTTTACCACAAGAAGTTAGAGGACAAAGAGCAATTAGAGATTGACTTTCAAAAAAATAAATAATCTTAACATAAGCCTTATACCCTTCACAATGGTTAGCTTAAATTGGATCCAAATATAAAAACATTAGAGTCATAAAAATAAACAGAAGAGAAAAAAAATACATAAACTTTAGCATGTGGTAACTCTTCAGTTGCAACACAAAGACACAATCTTTGAAACACCAAATCAGGTAACAATATGAAGAAACAGGAATAATCAGTAATTTCGAGTGACAAAGCAAAGTAGTATAGTTAGTTTGTAAAGGAGTATTTGGTAGTTTTTTATAAAGTTAAACAGAGTAGCCTCCATATGCTTCAACAATTTTATTTCTTGAGATACATCAAAAGGAATTAAAAACTAATGATCATACTTATACTTACATACGGGTGCTTATGGTGACTTTATTCATAACTGCCTAGAAATGAACAAAATAAACAAGATGGCCTTCAAAAGGTGAGTGGGTAAACAAGTTGAGGCACATCCAGACATAGATTATTATTCATTACTAAAAAAAAAAAAGGAACTATGAAACAATGGAAAGATATAGCAGAACTTTAACTTTGGGCCAGACTAGACAGTGCTCAGGACTTACTCTTGGCTCTGTAAAGCCCAGGGATCACTTCTGGCAGAGCTTAAGAGCTCACTGGGTGCAAGGGATTAAACTCAGGTCAGGGGCATGCAAGACAAGTACCTTATCAGCTATACTATCTCTCTAATCCTCATGGTAGAATTTCAAATGCATCTTATTCAGCTAAATTATGAGAAGTCTATTATTCCAATAATTCTAAAAATGACAAAACTATAGAAAACAATGAAAGTGGTTTTTAGGGGTTGGACGGGATAAAAAGAAAGAGAAAAAGAGGGGTTACGGTAATTTTAACCAATTGCCCAGATGCAAATTATAATATTTGGATGAAATGTGTAGGGAGTATAAATATAATCGCATCATAAAGACTATATATCATTATGAATTTGTCCAAAGAACGTGCAGTACCCTCTGGGTTAGGAAATGGTACAGAAGATGGCATTTGTAATCCAGGAATCCCATTCTGGTTTCCCTGCTAGGAGTGACCCTTGAACACAGAGCCAGAAGTTAATTGCTGAGAACTGCTAAGTGTGGACCCCTACAAAAAAGGAGAATGTACAATACTAAGAGTAAACTAATGCAAACTATATATGATATAAACATATATAATCTATATAATCTATATCATTATAATGACATATGATTATGATATGTCAATATAGGTTCATCAATTGTAATAGAAGTACCACTTGTGGGGGAACGTTTCTAAGGGGATAGATTTAGGGGTAGTAGGGGTATGTGAGAAATCTCTGTACCTATGTCTCAAGTTTTCTGTTGTCTTAAAAAGTGCTCCAAAAATGAAGTCTTAAAAAAATAAAATTTTAATAGTGGCAACAACAATTAGCCCACTATTAAAATTATATTGCATAATAAAATTCTCATAGACCTGCAAAGTTGCAAAATAGTTTTAGCTTATCAGTTGTTCATTATCTCCTAAAGAAGAAATACTTTTTTTTTAAGGTTAAACATAATTGATAGAATGTAAATGGAAACTACCATTGAAGATGTACGCTTCACTACAAGCTTTCTGTTTATAAGGTTAATTTGTTTCAGATAGCTGAAAGTCATGACTGGGTTATAAAATAATCTAGCAATTTTTTTAGAAAAGAAGTACTTTGAGAAATAGAGAAAAACATTATCACAGGAAATTTTCAGTAATAAATGTGTCATTCGGTATCTGCATGAAGACACTGGAGAAATCATAATAACAAGAAGTCTAACATTATTTCTTCAGTAATTCCACATTACTCTTTATTTATCTTGGTACTAATAGATACCCAGGAGGAAATTTTGAATTTGGGGAATTCATTTAAGTTTCAAGATTCCCAGAAATTTCTGTTAGCTGAACAAGACAATTTCATGCTTTCTTAGAAAGCAGTAGGTTTCCCGTGGTGAAGAGTGGGTGGCACAGGAGAGCAGGGTGATTAGTTAGTAGGCATGGTCCAGGTCTTATGCTTTAGACGATTGGCATTCAAAATTCTCCTGCCATTGAGAGAACAGACAGGTCTCTCAGAGTTGTCTTCCATCTCATACCTAACTTTGGGTTCTATAGTGTAAGGTACATCTAATATAATGATAGGTTCTGTCTACTTCTCTGTTAACAGTGTTTTGTCTAGCCAAATCCTCCACTGGTCATTTTTCCCATAGCCATTGAGAAAACCATGAGTAATGATAAAATCTGAGTCACATGAAAAAGACTAGGATTATTAATTCTCTCATTCATCATTACTTTCAATGAACATTCATTGCACAAACATTAGTGCACTGGTAATACTAATATCTTCTAATTATTTCAAGATTTAGTGCTCATTTTCCGTAGAATTTTCCCCAATGGAACAAGCAATGTCAATGGACTATAATTATTTAAATCTGAGTTATAGTCTCCCTCCCTTGTCGTATTCTAAAAATCTTTGACTTTTGTCCCTGGAATGTTATCCATAATCTCTTAAATATTTAGATACATATTACAAAATTCTAAACAAAAATTTAAGGTTATTTGAATGCATTTAATATCATTTATATATCTACTTATTTTATATGTATACTATTTTACTAAGCTTAACTTTTGAATTTATGAGTGAGTAACATAATACTGGAAACATGCAAAAAAAACATTTAAAATGTTCTTTGTACCTTTATAACTTGATAAACCTAAGACCAATAACATTTTTGGCTATTGTCAAATGATTATGAATTTCTTAGAAATGTTTGACTACTTAAGAGTAACCTTTCTTTCTGTTTCTTTTCTCTTTGCCCTGATGAAGAGCCTCTATATGAGAATTGCTAGAAAAAATGAATAATAGCCAACTGAGTATGTTCTGAAAGGCTGAAGTGTCCTTCACTCTCTGAGTCATACTTTTCCATCTTCCAGTTTATTAGTACCTGCCATCCAAACATGTGACTTGAAAAGATTCCATTTATTTTCTCCATGGACATTTTCTTTATGGACATCTGAAGAACCATGAGATATGACTATGTCAAATATGAATATCACAGCCCTGGTTGCTAAGAAATTACTCAAACTATTCTATTGTTTGTTTAACTGTATCTACATGTTCTCTGCTGTTATCATATAAGTCGCAGTCTTTGGACCTTGCTTCATTATTGAGAAAAGCTGGTATCGTTTCAACTGAACTGTTTTGTAATGCTCGGGAGCTAATAGGGATTCTCAGCCACACGGGGGGCCAGCATGTATTACCAGGGATTTATGGGCCAGCCCCTTGCAAGGTCTTTTACCCTTATAATATATCTCTGGCCCTTTAATCGGACATTTTCTTTGATTATTCAATAGTAGAAGGAAACTCTAGGAAAGTATTCCAAATTTGAACTATGTTATTTCTACTCCAGTCATCCACATTGACTAACGCTCATAAAAAATAAATTGCTAAGTATTGAACATCTTGCACTTCTAATTACTAGGCTGGATAAATAGATCCCTGCTCCAGAAACTCTGGTTGGTTAATTGTGCAGATCTAGAGTTCCACAGTTAATTTCCCTAGGACTAGCCACGGTGCTGAGACTACAGAACATTCAGTTTTGTTTTGTTTTGTTTTGTTTTTTTAACAGAAAAGAATGGGAGGTTGAGAAGAAAAAGGAATTGATACAAGACTTGATATCCTCTACGCTAACATCAAGTAATACCCAGGAGTTAACAGCCAACCTAAGTCTACCCCAGTGGAGTTTAATGTTGTATTTAAAATTAAATTAACCTCCATGATTTAGCATAGGTTAGGGGCTTACTTTTCATTTCTAAGACTGTTCGTCACCAAATAGTGATTAGTTCCAACTTTAAGCTAGAACTTGTGGGTCAGAGAGAGAGCAGAGCATGTGGGGTTCTTGCTGTGCATGCAACCCACATGGATTCTATCCCTGGAACCATAAATGGTCCCTTGAGCCAGCCAGAAGTCATCCTGATCCTTGAGCACAGAGCCAGGGGTAACCCATAAACATATCTGAGTGTGCCCCACCCATGCCAAAAATATCTAGAACATCAATCCTTGAAATTAAAAGGAAATAAACATTACAACTAGCATCATTATCTTAATCAGCAGTAATAAAAAATACACATAAGTTTCAAGACAACGTGCATTAGGTGTTGCATATATATATATATATATATATATATATATATATATATATATATATGCCCTCCCGTTGATCATCGATTTGCTCGAGCAGGCCCAGTAACATCTCCATTGGAGACTTTGTTGTTACTGTGTCTGGCATATCGAATATGTCACGGGGAGCTTGCCAGGCTCTGCCGTGCGGACGAGATACTCTCGGCAACTTGCCAGGCTCTTGGAGAGGGGCGGAGGAATCAAACTCGGGTTGGCCATGTTGGCTGCGTGCAAGGCAAACGCCCTATTGCTGTGCTATCGCTCCACCCCTACCACTGTGCTATCGCTCCATCGTTAGAAGAAATATATATATAATTTATATATATATATATATAATATATATAATTTCTTCTAACGATGGCATGATTGGATGCAATTATCATCTATACTTAACAAGTAAGAGAAATGAAACATGGGCTGGAGAGACAGAACAGAGATTAGGGTGCTTGCTTTACAGACAGCCATACCCATGTTGATACCCAAAACAGTCCTAATTAAGTTCTACTGCAGTAAAATGTTTATGTGATGCTTTAAAGAAATGGCATGACACATTAGCCTCTACAAGTAAAAGATAATATTAAAAAGAGGTGTCCTTTTATTCCACACTTGATTTAAAACCCCGTCAATGAAAAAGTAGCAAGATAAATACAGTTAGTAGCTATTCAAAGAATGCCATGCTATAGATTAAAATGCTTGGCATATTCAAAAGGCACATGGAAAAAAATTGTTCTTCATCGCTAATCATCAGGGAGATGCAAAACAAAACAAAAATGAGGTATCAACTTACCCACTGAGACTGGCACACATCAAAAAGAACAGCCTGGCATGGATGCAGGAAGAAAGGGGCTCTCATTTATTGTTGGTGTGAATGCCAACTGGTTCAGCCTTTTTGGAAAACAATAGGGACATTGCTCCAAAACCTAGAAATGAAACTTCCATATGACCCAGCAATACCACTTCCAGGAATATATCCGGGGTGCAAAACACACAGTAGAAATGACATCTTAACTTGTATGTTCATTGAAGTACTGTTCACAAAATCCATAATCTGGAAACAACCTGATTGCCCGAGAACAAATGACTGGTTAAAGAGACTATAATACATCTACAGTGTGGAATATTATACAGCTATTAGGAGAAAATGAAGTCATGAGATTCACTTATAAGTGGATGGACATGGAGAGTATCATGCTAAGTGAAATAAGTCAGTAGAAGGATGGACATAGAATGAATGCACTCACTTGCCAGCTATTAAAAAAAAAAAACATAGCAAGAGACTAACACCCAAGGACATTAGAAATAAGGGTCAGGACAAATGGTTCACGGTTTGAAGCATGTCTCAAGGGCTGGGGAAGAAGGCAGTTGGACAGAGAAGGGATCATTATGACAATGATGGTTGGAAGGGATCGCTCTGGATGAGAGATGTGTGCTGAAAGTGGGCAAAGGACCAAACATGATGTGCTCGCAGTATCTGAATTGAAAAGGATAATGCCCAAAAGGACAGAGAGAGAGAGAGAGAGAGAGAGAGAGAGAGAGAGAGAGAGAGAGAGAGAGAGAGAGAGAGAGAGCCTGACACAGAGGCAGGCTAGCAGGAAGAGGCAGTTGCAGGAGGAATATGGGATACAGGGGACATTGGTGGTGGGAAATGGTGTTTCAACACTGGTGGAGGGATGGATGTCGGAACATTGCTTGACTAAAACTCAATCATAAAAGCTTTTCAACTATATTTCATGTGACATTTTGATTCAATGAAAAATTGATTCATTTTTAAAAATAAAATAATAAAACGTTTTGGCATGCAGATTGCTGTGGTTCCATAGCACTTGTTCACACTTAACAGGAAAAATAGATAATTTTTTCCTAAAACACTTTTAATACTTTTGGCAGCTTTTAAAGCAGGACGCATTGGTGTGACATGCTCTTTGGGCCGTTCATCTTGCTGTATGTGTGACACATTTCTAATACGGACACAACATTCCCATCAGTCTCTCCCCACCTGTTGCTTCCCTGGCACTGTGTTCTTTCTCCTCCAGACCGTGTCAGTGTCCGTCTCTGTCCTCACCCTGAGCTGCATCGCCCTGGATCGATGGTACGCCATCTGTCACCCTCTGATGTTTAAGAGCACCGCCAAGCGTGCCCGGAACAGCATCGTCGTCATCTGGATCGTGTCCTGCATCATCATGATTCCTCAGGCCATCGTCATGGAGTGCAGCACCGTGCTCCCAGGCTTGGCCAACAAGACCACTCTCTTTACCGTGTGTGATGAGCACTGGGCTGGTGAGTATCCCGTGGTGCCAACGTCTATACTATACTGCGAGACAGAAGTGTCCATGCACAGTCAATGAAACCCTGGCCCTGGATTGGCATTTGTGGACCTACTTTTGCAAGGGGATAAAAACCAAATTTCACAGAATAACTCCGCCTTGCTGGGTCCTTTAGAAATGCACCGTTAGACAGTTTTCAGATAGGAAATGAAAGGAAGAGCTTATGCTATACTTCAGATTTAGTCATGTTAGTATTCAAGTTTTCCTTCGCCCCTCTCGGAGAGCCTGGCAAGCTACCAAGAGTATCTCGCCTTCACGGCAAAGCCTGGCAAGCTACCCGTGATGTATTCGATATGCCAAACACAGTAACAATTGTCACAATGGAGACACTACTGGGCCCGCTGGAGCAAATCGATTAACAACGGGAGGACAGTGACAGTGACAGTATTCAAGTCATGAAAATTTAAAAAGAACCCCTAATTCTCAGTCAAATACTTAAGATATTGCTTTAATATTACCTAAGTGGAACTTAAGTTGCTTAAGAAATGTATCTGCCTTTCTAGAAGTTTCCATTATTTTTTGGTTGGAGATGGGGTGGACCCCATCTGTCAGTGCTCTGGGCTATTCCTGGCTCGTTGCTCATGGTTCCTATTGACAGTGCTTGGGAAGCAATGCAGTTTTAGGGGTCAAACCCAGAGCTCTGCAGGCCAAACATACATGCAATTTATATTTGAATGAATTTTCCATTAAATTTTGCAAACCCAAATATGTCATCTGGAAGTATTAGCATGTTATAAGCTGATACAACATTATTTTTCTTTCCAGTTCCAAGCTGCCAATGGACTTCAATTTCAACTCAATATCTCGTTGTAAAGCAATATTTCATTGTAAAAATGTGTTGTCCTACTCAGGAAATGATGAGAATGGGCTGTGTGGAGCTGGGCTGTTTCCTGAGACAAATGATCTAAATTAACTTTATTTATGTTTAGAAAATATTTACTAGGAATGAGCTGTGGGCGGGAGCAATAGCCCAGAGGGAAGGGTGTTAGCCTTGCACGCAGCCAACCTGGCCAACCTGGGTTCGATTCCTTCGCCCATCTTGTAGAGCCTGGCAAACTACTGAGAATATCTTGCCCGCACGGCAAAGCCTGCCAAGCTCCCTGTGACATATTTGATATGCCAAAAACAATAACAACAAGTCTCACAATTTGTTGTGAGATGTTACTGGTGCATATTCGAGCAAATTGATGAACAATGGGAGGGCAGTGCTACAGACAGTGCTATGCTTAGTTGATAAAGACCATCACTGAAAAAAATAGTATATAATTACAGTAGCATATGAATTTTCAATCAGTTTTAGTTTTCCTCTTGATAAGTATGGCAGCTACATGTGAAAAACAGAAATTTAAAAACCTATGCTCCCTTGGTTCAGAGCTCTTAGTGGTAACCTTAAGGTTTTTCGGTAGCAGTGGAAAAGTGATACCGTTGGAGCACAAAGAGGAAGGAAGGGAAAGAGAGAGAGTCACCTCACGTGAGAGTCCCTATGCAGTACTTACCAGATTATCCCAGGAAGTTTGAGGACAACTATTTGTCTTCTAGACTGATAAATAACAAGATGTCAAACTTAGGAATTAAAACAATTCGCCTTACAAGCGGCCAACATGGCCGACCCGAGTTCGATTCCTCCGCCCCTCTCGGAGAGCCCGGCAAGCTACCGAGAGTATTCGATATGCCAGACACAGTAACAACAAAGTCTCCAATGGAGACGTTACTGGGCCCGCTCGAGCAAATCGACGATCAACGGAAGGGCCTTTACCTTTACCTTTACCTTTACCTTGTTTATTAGAACAAAGTACCAAAAGCCAGTGCACCCCATGGATTGCATGTGGATATGCCATTTTTAATGTATTTGATCTTTGAACTTGTTTCAATTCTACCTTGGTTCTTATTTTGGAATATTAAAAAGTGAAAAGTTCCTGAAATATGAAGCATATACTTTCAATCCAGCAATATAACCTCACCAGGATCATTTTGTAATTTGTATATATTATCCCAAATACGTAATACTACTTTTAATTGAAATTTCCCCCTTTTTCTTAATGCTCCAATTCTTTTGCTGGATTTTCTATGGATTACCATCAGTTTCCCCAAATTTTCTCACTATCACTTCAAACAAAAGAAAAATGAGAGCCAGAAAGATCGCTGAAGACACCAAGTGCATGTCTAATATAGGAAAGCCGGGTTTTACCTCTGTCACCTCATGCTTTCCTACGGAGGGCAAGAGTGAATGAGCCCTCAGCACTGGGCCAGGAACGTCCACTTCACACTGCCAGGCATGGCCCCAGAGCAAAAAAACAAGCTAAACATTATGGAAAGTTTCAGAATGGTAGAAATGTTTCTTCAGAAACATGAAAGTTATGTTCTAATTATCTAATTTCCAAATTTATCTGATTTTCAAAATTCCATGTCAAGTTAAGGATTGACAAGGAATTATGCCAATAAGACAAAGATGCAAAGTTTAACTGAAATGCAAAGTGTTTACAGTATGATTACTTCCCCCCCGCATCTTTTTTTTTTTTTTTGCTTTTTGGGTCACACCCGGCAATGCACAGGGGTTACTCCTGGCTCTGCGCTCAGGAATTACCCCGCTCAGGGGACCATATGGGATGCTGGGAATCGAACCCGGGTTGGCCGCGTGCAAGGCAAATGCCCTACCCGCTGTGCTATTGCTCCAGCCCCTATGATTACTTTTTTAACATACTTCTATACAAAATTTCAGAAACAAAAATGAAATGACAAACTCAGTCCTCGCTATTTGGACAAAAATTTACAGTGGTATTTGATAACTCTTTGACAAATGATTACAGAAAAACAGGGATTCTCTGGACAAGAAAGAATAAAAAGTGTGTCTATGAAACAGTACACAGTGGGTGCCATTCCTTGAAGGAAAAAAAAGAAAATTTTGAAACTTGTAGTTGTGTTTGGAAGAAAAGTAGGTTGAGGACAGATTTTATGACACTTCTTTGCAATTATTATACATTTTCTTTGTGATACTTAGAAAAGAGGCACAGAGTTCCTAATCAGAATGTTTTCGCTAACTCATGAGATATAAATTAAACTATTTATTTGAGATTATGAATGAAACAAGTACATTTCAAATTAAGCTTCCAGGGACCAGAAAGATAATATATAATGGTAGGTTGTTTGCCTTGAATATGGTTCCCTGAGCACTACCAGAAGTGATTCTTGAGTCAGGCTTAAGCCCTGAGCATTGACAGGGATGGCCCAAAAATGAATGAAATAAAATTAAGTTCCTAACATAAAAGTTGGATACTTTATAAAAAGAGAAATTAGGTCCAACATCCACCTATTATTCAATATATAGTAGTAGTGTCTTTTTTAGATTATTTTGGTAATTAGTTACATATATAGGTTTATAAGATGCATTTCTATATATTTTCAATGTTTCTCTAAATAAGCAAATGGTCTTAACATATCCATTAACAAAAACATTGCAAACTAAGGAATCTTGTCAGTGATTATGATTAAGTAAACAACCACAACATTTTCTAATTACCATTTTCTAATTACCTTTCTAATAAAACTCATTTCAACCTAATCATTTTATTATCTAGTTCTAGAATCAACAGTTTATTGGAATAAGCAATTATTGTTGCATAACTAAAATCTAAACTAAGTCATCATAAGTCAATTAGGAAAACAATTTGAAGTTGCTTTATATTAGCCCATAATTGAGTTAAAATGTTTTTAAAGCAAAGACTCATGATGCTAAGTTGAATTGATCATCTACAACCTCAAACAATTAAATTTACAAAAGACTAAGGTTGAAATATTAAACGCAATTGTTATCTACTTAGAAGTTTTCAAGCAAAATATAAAAGAATTCAAAGCAATTCTTATCTGTTTACTCACAAAATATTGAGTTTGTTGAAATGATCTTTGTTAGGTTGGATATTTTAAGTCCATATTCAATTCTAAATGTTAAAACTCAGACACGTGTGCTATAGTCAAGGAAATTCCTTAGGAAATTATATATATTTTTATAGAGTACACCGTCTAAAGTTCAGATTCTTTGAATTACAATAAAGCAAGATCTAAAGAATTTGTTGTGAAGTAGCTTCTCTTTAAACTTGATTCACAATTGCATTTGTCTACAAAAGATGGGCTCCACTGCAGTTTTTAAAGGATAGATCTAATCCATTGAAAGATACAGTGATAGACCAAGAAAGAGATATCTTGAGAACTACCCAGCAGGTAGGAAAAGGGCAGACTCAGAGTAACCATCTTATCTGCTTGGTCACAGGCAGCAGTTTTTACAGAAAAGAAGAACTGGGAAGTACTTTGCTAGGAAGGGTAGGTTGCTGATTCCTGGAGATTAAGTAGGCAATAAATTTCCTTGTAGGCTGAGTCTGTAGGTGACACTTCATTTTTTAAAAGCCTCCCTTGTATACAAAGTTGCATCACCAGCCCACCAGACTGCAGACTTTCTTCTTTGCCTCCTCCAAGCCCATTCATACTCCAGGCACATTTTTTTATCTTATCTTCACATCTAAATCAAAGATTTCTGAGGAAGAGTTCTTATTTTAGGTTTTTGGATGAAGTGCAAAATAAGACTGATATCCCACCCACAAGAGCTTGCTGGTTTTTATTTTGAATTCAGCTCTTAATTTCTTCTGGAACCATTCTTTTCGTATCCTTATACCAGATTAAATTGATAATGTAGATAATAATAATATTTAGATAATATTTTCCTTCCCATTGATCGTCGATTTGCTCGAGCGGGCCCAGTAACGTCTCCACTGGAGACTCTGTTGTTACTGTGTCTGGCATATCGAATACTCTCGGTAGCTTGCCGGGCTCTCCAGAGCTGCGGAGGAATCGAACTCGGGTCGGCCATGTTGGCCGTTTGCTCGAGCGGGCCCAGTAATGTCTCCATTGGAGACTTTGTTGTTACTGTGTCTGGCATATCAAACACTCTCGGTAGCTTGCCGG